TATTATTCCCAATGTTACTAATATGATTTTTATTTTATTTTACTGTACATATAGTGAATTAAAATTAAAGAATCATACATGAAATTTATTGAATAAAGACATCAATCTCTAGGGGAGTAAATATTTCCCATAGTTTGAAGTCATCACAAGGGAGAATCTTAGATGTTCCTCTTTTTCTTTCCCATTCATTTATATGATCTTAGTAAATTGTCCTTTACAGGTACAATAGCCATCATTTTGGCACTCTTCAGCAGTTATGTGGTCATACATTATACATGTGCATTTATTACCAGTTTCAGAAACATCTTGAATTTCAAAACTACAAGAGAAAATAGTTTCCATTAACAGCTAAATTTGCTCTACATAACATCTGCATTTTATTTTATTTTTTTAAGATTTATTTATTTTTATACAAGAACTGGGATACAGGTCAGATGCACGGGAGGGTGAGAGGATTCACCGGACCGAGCAGGGAACAGAATAGACAGACTGATGAAATACACTGCTGAGGGGAGCAGCGGGCGAAACACGAGAGGTCTGCTTTGCCATGTGGGATTCTCCCTGGCTGGCTGGGATCGAACCCGCACTGCAGAGGCTGTGGACAGCTTCACAGTGCAGCGCTCAACCACTTGTGACACCAGGGAGGCCCAAAAAATTCGATATTTAATGGTAATTATCTTCCGTTTCCAATTCCTGGACATGAAAATGTTGATAATAAATGTACACATATAAAATAGGGTCAGATAATTGCTGAATATTGTCAAATTAATGGCTATTGTATTTGTAGGAAGAAAATATTTGAATCATAAAAATACATGAAAATAAGGTGAACATTTAAGATTTCACATGGTGATGACCTCAAATCAATGAATACTTTATTTACCTGAAATTGATATCATTATACATTGATGTCCATATATATTTCTTTAAAGATTTATTTATTCATGCATGCAAGAACTGCAGTACAGGCCAGTGGTGTGGGAGGTGAGAGGAGTCACCAGAGACAGAATGAGGAACAGAACAGGCAGACTGACTGATAAACATCACTGAGGGGAGCAGCAGGCAGTCAGGAAAGGGTCTGCTGCACCATGTGAATTTCTCCCTGGCAGCTCATGCTGCAGTGGCTCATGGGGATCCAGCTCATGCTGCAGTGGCTCCAGATATCTTCAAAGGTTGCATCTTAACCCCTGGCACCACCAGGAAGGCCTCATATATATTTTTAATTTTAGTTCATAATATCTAAGTAAAACTACATTAAAATTATATTAGTAGCATAGGAAATCATACAAAAACGTGAAAAAAATGTGAAGGAAAATTATTGAGATAGAAAGGTTAAATAAAACCCTCCATTTTGGGACAGAGGTATTGTATAAATCCTATTTTAAATTTTTAGCTCTAATAATTTCAAAGTAAATTGTCTCTGTAGTGCACATATATATATATATATATATATTGAAGGTTATGTACATCATCAGCCTTCCTTTGGCTCATTAGGTCATCTATGGGAAGAATGAATGATCATTTTGGAAGATAAAATTGCCTGAATGTCAAGAGATACATTTTGAGAAGAAAAGATAATGGTTAAACATGCTTCTAAAAGAGGCAGGAAATATATGAACTTTGTTCACCACACTTGGTTCAGTTTGAAAACACATTTTCTGCAGTGGAATGGGAAATATGAGCAGAATTTTCTTTATTCCCAAACAAGAAATTATCCTGCCATTGATCAGCCACTGAGTTCTAAGTTCTAGAGACATGGTTTCGCAAATCAAACATCTGTGTCTGCTTTCACGAGGCTTACAAACTATAGGGAGGATTGTCATAAGTAAACACATTAATAATACACAATGGAAATAAAATCAGTTCTTGGGTATGGAGGAGAGAGAGTTATTAGATCACAATAAAATCTGTCTATATGGAAAAGTTAGTGGAGACTTCCCTGATATATTTGTGGAGAAGTCTGAGAAATGAATAATTTTACTTTCAAAAATGCCTAGTGCTGGGCCTTCCCGGTGGCATAGTGGATTGAGTGCCACGCTGTGAAGCTGTCCGCAGCCTCTGCAGCACAGGTTCAATTCTCGGCCAGGCAGGGAAAAACTCACATGGCACAGCAGACCTCTCCTGCCTAGCCTGCTGTTCCCCTCAGCCATGTTTTCGGTCTATCTGCCTGTTCTGCTCCCCACTCTGACTCTGGTGAATTCTCTCACCCTCCCATGCCTCTGACTGTACCCCGTTCTTGTATAAATAAATAAATCTTTTTAAAAAAAAATCCCTAGGGATCTAGGAGGTAAGTGTATTTCAGAGATAAAAGCATCATGCAAGCAGCAAATGATCCTGGGTGGAGTGAATATCAGGGATTTGGGTGCTAGTGTTGGGGTAATAGAGAGTGACTGATACCTTTCTGGGGAGAAAGGAAGAAACAGAAAATACAAAGCTGGGGACTGTGAGTAAGACTTTGACATCTTCAGGTTACTGTCAATCCAACATGACCCAGGATAGAAAGATGGCCTCTACAAACACATCTTTCTTTTATATTATATATAAATGTACTTAAATCTCTATACTTAAGAAGCAAAATTTCTTTAAAATAGATTAGGCTAGATGAAATTTCTAGGTTTAGGATAAAGTCAATTAATAGAACACACTTAAACATTTAAGCAAATATTTCAGAAAAATCAAACTTGACAATTGTCAGTTTTGCAGGCCTGAGATTAAAGGATGCCTGAAAAAAGTAGCATCAAACTTTGACATATAGCTTTGCCCAAATCATTAAATGCCAAAATCATTAAAACATTATCATATTTTATATGTCTTCCTATATCATCTACCCATCCCTCCATCCATCCATCATTTGTCTAGCTACCTATCTATCATGTAAGCTTGGAAATGTGCAAATCACTTGACACTCACTGAATGATGGTTTATTATAAAAGTTAGAAGTTGAGTTTTCTATACTGACAGTTTTTATTGATCTGGCGATTCTTTTTTTTAAGATTTACTTATTTATGCACACAAGAGTCAGGTACAGGCCAGAGGTGCAGGGGGTTGGTGAGAGGATTCACCAGGGACAGAGGGAAACAGAACAGGCAGATCGATTGAAATATACTACTGAGGGGAGCAGCAGGCAAGTCAGGAGGGGTCTGAAGCATCATGTGGGTTGCTCCCTGGCTGGGGATCAAACTCATGCTGCAGTGGCTGTGGTTAGTTTCAAGGCCCAACCCCTTGCACCACCAGGGAGGCCCTTATCTGACAATTCCTGAAGACACTAACTACAAATATGTAAACCAATGAAATTTCAGCAAAGTTAAAAAAACTGAAACAAAGGTGTTATAAACCACTGATACTACAATAAAAATTTTAAAATAGGAGGTACAATGTCAGCTTCATGGCAGAGAAAGACACTATCATCATTTGCCCCATGTGAGCTAGATTGTTGTTACAATGTTGGAAGTATAACATCTCCCCCTTCAGGTGCAGTTGCCATAGCACATCTAAGCACACACACTACCCACTGTGCTCTCTCCATATCCTGTTCTTGACCCTCCCTCTCCTCCTCTGGAGCCTCAGTTACATGGTCAGCTTCCATGGGTTGAATTTAATCTTTATGTTTGTCTAAGTATATTTATCCAAATTAGGACTCCTCTTAGTATGTGAGAATGCAGAAGACACCCATGTGCCTGTGATCTAAGTCTGTGCTACAAGCAAACTGGGTTGGCTACCACACAACCCAGAGGTCTGAGGAAGAAGGCAATGAGAGGGTGTGTGAGCAGGTAAGAACCAAACCTGGTTCATAGGTAGAAGATGTAGCATAGTGACTAACACTCCGTAGGCTTCTCCTCACCCTCCCTGTCTAAGGCATCTGATATCAGGAGGTTGCTTCCCTCCTTTTCAGGTCCCCGCAAACCTGATAGAAAAGATAAACATAAAAGGAAAGCCACATTACCACAGACTGCATATAAGAGGAAAGACACTTAATTACTCTGAGAGAAGCCAATTTCCCGGACAGAGAAGCACATCATCAAATAATAGCAAAGAGAAAGACAAATATCTAGAAATCAAACTTTAAATTATAAAATTTGATGAATGCCAGAAAGAGAATTCAAAATAGATGTCAGGGAGATAACAAATACCAAGAAAAGATGGATTGACAACTGATAACTCAAGAAGAAATTTAGGGAGAAGAGATTGATATTAAAGAAGCAGTGATTGAAAGTATAAAAGAAAAACAGAACTAGAGATCCTGGATATGAAGGTTCAATAAATGGACCAAAACTGCTAAGGAAAACATACAAAGAAGGATAGAATACAAGCAAGAAAGAATTAGTGAAGAAGAAAATAGAAATCTAGAAATAACTCAAGTGGTAGAGGAGAAAGGATAAGATTTAGGAAAAAATGATGAAAACATGAGGCCATCAGTCTCCATTAGGAAATGCATCACAAGGATAATGGACATCCTTAGAAAATGAAGAGAAAGAGAAACAAACAGAGAATTTCTTTAAAGAAATAATTGCTGAGAATGTCCCAAACCTGGGAAGGAACAGTCTACAGAAATTCATGAAATCACTAGAACATATATTTGTCTAAATGCAAGAGGACCCACACAAAGACACATAATAGAATATTTCCAAAGTTTGTACAAAATGATATACAGTTATCCAGAATGATCTAACATTGGAAATGTGAGTAATGATAAATCTTCACAATTTAGAATTCTGTACGAAAGAATGAAATGATGTTGACATATATTATTTGATATAATTGTTTATTTAAATTTATGAAAAGAAAAATTACTAGGATACATCATTAAAATATATTAAGTTCAATACCAAACATGAATTAAATCAAAGTATTCATTACAGTCTTTATCTTATGCCTTATAGTAGCAGATGGTAGTGCACGGACTCATCATTTTTATATTTTCAAATATATACAAATAGTATGAGACAACTTGAAAGATTTCACACAACCCAAAATTAGATAACTGGAATAGGATAAGAAGGAGACTTAGCATTCTTTTATTGGGTCTTCACTGCTCACTTTTTCCACCGAAATAACACCTAAGTAAGGTGCTGTTTACAGATATAACGGTATTCCTTCGTGCAATTTTCATCCCAAGCATCACCACTTGGGTTGTATATTATGCACTTCTTTGGATTTTCAGTTTCAATGAGTGGAAATCTGTAATTAAAAATGAAAATGCAATATATGGGAGAAAGAAATGAAAATGTCAGTGATATTTCTTATTAAATAGTAGAGCTTTTCAAAGCTTTTGAAAAGGACATTAAGATACAGAGTCATATTTTTTGTTAAATAGCTACAGTCTACATTACAGAGTAGCATGTTACTAAAATTCATTTATTACCTCTCTAATCTAATACATAGAGGGCAGGGATTCTTTTGCCTTTGTTATTAATGGTTTTAGTATTTTATATACTTTGTTTCAATCTATATTAAAGATGCACTGACTAATCCAGTCCAGGGAAACAAGTCAGGGCATAAAACTTGCCATTGTATGAGGCTGGAGAACCCATGTTTATGAATGAGAAGGGAATTTGAAGATTACAAATATATAAAAATAGTACATGATATTTGAGACATGGGGTTATAATAGCGGTTGAGAATATTGGGCTCCAGCAGAATAAAGAAAATCAAGGACACTGGACATCCCCCATTAATGTACCTTCTGCAAACCCTCATACCATCCCCCCACACCCCCAGTACTGGTTCTAATGCAGAAGGGAAAAAAAAAATGCCAGAAGCTCTTATATGGTCACAAGTTCACAACCTATATATTAGAAGCAACCTAAAATTGTTTTTCTGTTCCAACTATTTTCTGTCTTTTTATGCTATAAAAAGAGGATTTTAGCTCTGATGAAAGCCAAGAAAATGCGTAAAGACAGAAAAACCCTTGACTCAGAAACTTACAGACCCTGGGGAACAACAGAACCATTCAGCCACACCCAGACACGGTGATGTGCACGGTAGGTCGCTCCAATCCAGTAAAAGTTTGGATTAAGCTTCATAAAATGCTGCTTGGATACAAAAACAAATTAACCTAATTTAAATCTACTCTGGATAATATTTTTTTTAATTAATGCCCAGCATTAGATTCAGCCTTTCATCAAACACATTGAAATTATTTTTAACAGTTTGTTTAGGAGGTAGTCGTGAGTCAACTATGTCCTCAAATATCAGTCCCATTCACTTATAAATAACAACACAAAATTTCACATGTAGACAAAAAGAAAAAAAAAATTATATATGGGGTTCGAATTTTCATGGAATACTTCCTTCATAGGAGACTGATATTCAAATTGATTCTACATCAGTGTTTTAAGGGATAAAGTTTGTAGGTATACTCTTCAAAACGAAAATTCCACAAGGATATTACATGGGGCTAGGAATAATTTCACTTTTTTTAAGAACTGGATAATTTTTGTGATGATACTTCAGGGACTGATGACAAAATATTGAGAATTATACAATAAAGTACAAAATCAAAGAACTAAAAACTGTAAGTATTTGGTTGATTTTTTAAAATAAAATAAACCTGTTACATCTGCTCTGAAATCTCTCTAAAATGTGTCTTGTATTCCATTTTTAATTTGCCTTGAATTTTATTCCAATTAACATACATCTTTGATGGAATTTCATGTAGATTTTATATGGGTATCTGAAGTTATAGGATATCACTAAATCATTAGCTTAACAAATAATTATCCACTATGATATAATGAAAGTTGGAATCAAATCATTCTGCTTACTGAGATGACAATTTTTCCTAGGATTTAAAAAATATAGGAAACCAGAATTAAATACATGCCAATTCATCTCTGTTGTCCATCTGAAGAAGGGTGGAATTCTGAGCAGCACAGGAATCATTACTGTTTTTCCAAGTTTTTAATTCACTGGATATGAAGTAACAGTTGCATTTATAGCCGATCCATCTTTCTCGGCAAGAACTGTTTCCAGAGTCTAAGAGAAAAATAACATGTAGCTGTTAATTGGAGATTGTTTTTCAATTTCCTTTGCTCATTCAAAAATTAATTTTAATTTACATTTTTCCCTGCAAATTCTTTGAAAAATCTATCTGAGAATATATTTGAATATTCTAGATACAGATAAAACTGTTTTTCTATTGAATCTAGTCTTTTTTCTGTCCTAGAGGTAACTAAATCTAGGAACAAATTAGATCCTAGAGAGGTCTGCTGTGCTAGCATGTTAGTTCCCTGGCCTGGGATTGAATTCAGGCCATCTCAGTGATACTTCCCAGTGGTAGCACTGAGTTTTAGCAGTAGGCCACTAGGGGGGCCACAATTCTAGAGATCTTTAAAGGAAGAAAGTATTGTAACATATTTCCTGAATAATAACGAAGAGCATATGTTGGGAGAATTCAGATATATGAGCTGGGTATTTGATCTTATAAAAGAAGATGCATAAAACAATTATCTTGAAGTCTCATCCCAGTTTACACTGGTGTTTTCTGAGCATTTACTATCTTTCTTTACAAAAGGCCTCACTTGTAGGCTCTCAAATCTTTGTAAAATGAGTGGTGCTGACATGTGATTACAATGTGAGGGCTCATCACAGGCCTGGGGAACAAGAAAATAATAGACAAAGGATATAAACTCCTAGTGGAGCAAAATATTGCTGAAATATTCCAAAATCAAATTCCAGATCTTCAAAATATTGCATGATAAGTTCTGAGGATCTAGTACACAGTATTATGAAAGTAGATAACATTTTTCTATTTCATATTTGTGATTAGCAAAAAATGAGTAGATCTAAATGTTATCAACTTAAGAGAAGTGCCACATTGGTGATGGAATAGAGGTGTTAGCTAATATATAATATCAGCATATCAGACATTTATCAAATTAACACACTGTGCATCTTAAGCTTATACAATGTCAGTTGTATTGCAATTAACTAGGAAAATCAGAAAAAAAGATGGTAAAAATAATAAACCTGAAGTGAGATATGATCACAAAAGATATTGAGGCAACTTTAAAAACATTTTGACAAAATGCATTCAGAATTAAGTTTTAAGCAAGCTCACTGGATGAGATTTAGATAAGCTGAAAATTATACACTAAATTCTGCGTGAAAAGATGCAGGATCAAAATTAAAGGGATATAAATGTATGGTTTATGAGCAACCACCAGTTATTTCAGATTAGCAGGGATTTATACTGCAACTTAATTTGATTTTCTACTTAAATTTGAACACTCATACAGGTTCATGGGTCCATGTCATGGTCATACAGGTTCATGAACTCATGAAGCTGTCGTTTTAGGTTAATATTTCCTTTACATTTGAATATATAGATGATGTACAGTCAATGTAATTTGATAATTTGTAAATGGGAGAATAATGAAATGAAACTATCTTACAGTTAGTAGGTCAATTTGTATAACTAGATTACAATATTTCATTATGGAATATTGTATGTAGAAATATGTATAAAAAAGTGAGGAAACTGCCTATTTCATCCTCTAGAAACCCCAAGGTTTACAAACATGAACCAACCTTCCTGGAGTTCAGCGGTATCTCCTGGAGAGATTGTCTGCTCATTATTATTTTTATGAGATGCTGTAAGAAATTATAGCAATTATTAGGTACAGTTTTATGAAAAAATAAAATATTCCATGTCAATAAATGCAACATTAATTATTAAATATTTGATCAAAGTTTGAACTTTATATAGACGTGCCTAGAAAAACTTACTATGAAACACCAACAAAGTTCCCAAAACAGCCATCAACGAAAGGCAGGTCACTCCTAAGATCCCAGAAATACACCTCCATAAAGTGGTCTGAAGTGCTGAAGAGAAAGAGTTAGGGTAATGCCTTCAAAGGAACACACTGGAGAAGTGAAACATTGGAAAATGAAAACAAGCTATTGAAAGCTCCAAGCAATAAAGAAATTCATTCTGTAAGGTTATTCAAGCATTTTCCCTTTACTGGATACATCTTAGTAATATAGACTCACCAGTAATTTTTTTGGAGGGGAGGGCATAGAAATAGGAAGGTCTGAATAAGACGAGTTCAACAGATACAAAGTTCTGTTTGTGGACTTAAATAGTGGACATTAACATATTTTATCAGGGAAAAATCATAAGAGGAATCATTCCCAGTAGGCAATTAAGAGAAATTAGGTCTCTTATAATTTCACTTATTCAAGGTATCAAGCTGGCAGGTATCCAACTCAGAAGTAAAATCACTGGCTAGACCCAAAGTCTTCCCTGTAACTCAGCCATCATTTTGAAAATGCTTCCTAGCAATGTCCTTTCTAATCAGTCCCTGCTAGAAACATGTCAGGGTGCTCATAACTCTGTAGAAGTTGAATGGGGATGAAAAGACAAAGGACACCCTGGACCTGGTGTGATGAAGGCTCCCCAGCACATACAGGGATGACTCCCTGGGAACCTGCTTTTCTTTTACATAGTTTAAATGATGACATTTAAGCCATCATTTGTTATAATACATTGCATTTTCTCATTCCCAAGTTTACTTTTTTATAGGCATTTCACATAAAGAAATAAACCTTAGAAGATTCTGCATTAATATGGGTACACTCCCTAAGTACATTGCCATTCACATCTAGTTTGCACAACAATTATATCAGCTGACTTTTGGATGTCAAAACAAAATGAGAAATTTTTATGAACTTATAACCATTGGCATAAACATTTCAAATTCACTAGTTAGCTCTATGCTCAAAAAGAGTTGCTATAATTTAACCTGGTAAATCAGTCCCTTAAGCCGTTAGTGCTGTCCCTGTCAGAAACCATCCTTTCAACCTGTTGGAAAAGCTTCACAAAACAATTTCTATAATGAAGAATAAAGAAAAAGAAAAAGAAAAATGAGAGCAAAATACTGATATATATGACATATAAAATTCTCACTTTTTTCCCAGTCCTGACTTGAAATGATCAATATCCATGACACATTTTCTTGTTTGTATTTTCTAGTTGCACAGCAGGGCTGCACGTACCTGCCATAAGGAGGGGTGCTCCTGGTCGACGTGGAGAAGGCTCGCTTTTTCCAGAAGATCTGGGTCTCGTTATTGACTGAGCTGGACACTTAGAAACCAAAAGTTATGGAAGAAGAGGGTTAAAAGGAAAATGGAAATTGTGCATTCAAACAATGCTCTCGAATCACCTATTTACTGGTGAGAGTGGATGGACAGTATGAAACAGAAGCAGTAAAATCAGACCTTCAAAAAGTTCCGGAACCACAATACAGGAAATTCTCACTGTACCTGCGTGGTGCCTCCCTTTGTTTATGATAAAAAAGGTCAGAGGGGAAGTTTTTTCTTTTTTTAATGTTTGAACTTCAAATAATTTAAAAATAATATTTGGGAAATAATGGAGACATGGGCAAACCTAAGTGTATGTACTCAGTGTAATAAAATTACACAAATAAAATTTCCTTTTTTAAAATAATAAAAAGTATTCATTTTTTACATTGTACTAAACTCTGATTAAAATATTTAGCATATATTAGATCAATAATTTCTGAGACTGACTTAATAAAAAATACATAATTATACTCATTTTACAAAGCATCATAAAACTCAAGAACAACTCCAGGAGACTTACCTTTGAAACCAGGCAGTACATATCCACAGACACATGCAATTTATTTTAAATCAAGCATCTCTTCAATTTAGCGGATATGTACTTTCTTAGCACAGAGTGATTGTTATTTCCTTGTCTCATTCTGTGATTCTGTTTCCTGCCTCCTCAACTCAGCTCAGGAAGGCAGAGGTCAAAAAGGTACAAAGTGACCTCCCATTGCTGTTCCATGCACTCTCTCTCTCTCTCTCTCTCTCTCTCTCTCTCTCACACACACACACACACACTCTCTTTCTCTCTCTCTCCCGTGCGCGCACACCCTACAATTGCCTCAGTTGCTTTGAGCAGAAACAAAGTACCTAACTCAGATTTTGAAATGGGGGCCAGTGGGTTAGACCCAAGATTGAATGAAATCAGCTGAGACCCAGTTTGGATACTAAAGTAGGTTCCACATGGATAGTCATGACTAACTCAAGGAAAATTTTTTTAAAGATTTTTTTTTTAATTTATGCATACAAGAACTGGCGCAAGAGGTGTGGTGGGTGTGAGGATTCACCAGAGGCAGAGTGGTGAACAGAACAGGGAGATTGACGGAAATACACTGCTGAGGGGAGCAGCAGCAGGCAAGACAGGAGAGGCCTCCTGGGCCATGTGGCTAGCTCCCTAGGTGGCAAGGGTTCAAACTCATGCTACAGAGGCTGTGGACAGCTTCACAGTACTGTACTTAACCCCTTGCACCATCCACGAGCCCTCAAGGACATTTTGAGACACTACACTTCTAGAAGGATGGACATAAGAAAATTGTGGGACTCTTTCAAAACTTTGTTTACATTGCTTTTATTTTTTTTTAAAGATTTATTTTTATTTATTTATACAAGCACTGGGTACAGTCAGAAGCACGGGAGGGTGAGAGAATTCACCAGAGCCAGAGCGGGGAGCAGAGCAGGCAGAAGAACCGAAGTACACTGCTGAGGGGAGCAGCGGGCGGCAGGAGAGGTCTGCGTACCATGTGGGACCCTCGCCCGGCGGCCGGGGATCGAACCGGCGCTGCAGAGGCTGTGGGCAGCTTCGCAACCCAGCGCTCAACCGCTGCGCCACCAGGGAGCCCATGCTTTTATTTTTTTCATGTAGGTTTTTATGAGTATATTTTGGTTCATTTTGAAGCACAATGAATTTGAGAGTGAATTTCTTATGTACAGTGTAATCAATTAGGAAACATAGTTGGACCTGTGGATCACAGATCTCCTTCAGAATTAGCGAGAAATGAAGTTTTCAAGAAGAGCAATGTCTTCCATGAGCTTTATTTGAAAACATTTAATATATCAATCAGTTCTGAAACTACCACCACTTATGTGGAAAGAAGAATTTGTTAAATAATGTAACACAATGTGACTTTATTGAGGGAACTAACAGTGTACTTGTGACATAAGAAACAAAGGAAAATAAAGATAGTTGTTCTAACAATGAGGATTAAATATAATGTCTTCTGTTCTGTTTTTATTCTTTCACATTTTATATTGGAATGATTTCTTCTGCTTCTTTTTTTTTTTTTTACAGAAAGTAGCAACAATAATACAGCACAGGGAACTCACTTACAACACTTGTGTAGTTTTTTCCACTAGCAATATCTTACATATGTAAACACAATGGTAACAACAGGATATTGACACAGAACAATCACATTTCATCAGTTTTCCATGCAGATATTTACTTGTATGTGTGTATAGGGAGAATTTAACAAAATTTTTAAACTCATGGAATCATCATCACATCATTCCTGCTTTTATGTTCTACAGAAAATTGTTGTTCTACCAACAATTTTTATTTCACTCTGAATTAAGTTTTTGAAGAAAGGCAAGATAAAGATTAAATTCTTTCCTTTGCTTTCCAGTTTGGTGTTTTGAATTGGTTCATTTTAAGAAATTTTTAACTCTTACTAATGGCAAATTATAGCCTATGCTGCGCTAAATGTGTATTTCTTATAATCTCAGTTAAGAATTTTGGTTTCCACTACACTGATGTAGAAATTTACAATACACCAGAAACTCTGTTATGAGCAATACTTTCTTTAATGAGAAAATCACACTAGTATGTCTACTCTAGGAAGTCACTTACTTTTTACCTAGCTCTTCTTAGAGTTAAAACTGACATTATTTCATTTTAATCAGGCAGCTTCAAAAGCTAATTTGGTTCCACTGAAAATTTTTTTAAGGGTTCACCAGGATTGATCTTCACATGACTGGCCCTTCTGAACAGAGATGATCATCTTGTAGCTGCAAAAAATTAGGAATAAATTACCATTGATTAATATGCTCATGTGATCTTATTGAACACGTTTATTGAATTTGATCTCTGACAAGTTACCCAATATTTATGAAATTTTATTGTGGATTTACTATACTACATTGTTGTTTTAACAGATTGGCTATCATTTTACAGTTGCAATTTTATTGAGCAGTTATAAATTCAGTCAGGCATAGAGACAAGAGAGTTGACAAGAGAGTTGACACAAGACAGTTTCGCTTTTTAAATGAAGTTAAAAGCACCAAAAATAAAATTGCTTTCCATCAGGAGAAATAAACAGATAAATATTAACCAAAGTGACAAATTCAGAAATAACTTATTCACACTTCAGTGACAGATAATATACTACATGACAGTGGTGGGGACATTTAGATGTTTCTTGGCTCTAGACACCACCTCACAGCTACTTTGTAAAATGAGATGTCTGCACTGAAACAGAAGCATCCAAACAATGATGAACTAGCTTGTAACATACTATTTTTTGTAAAAGTTGGCATCTCCTATTGTGCATGAAGGGCAAGTTTTATGAAGCTAAAAATACATATCCCTTGTTTCCAGATTATTTAAGTTTAGCCCTTACTATATATAAATATCTCTTTTCACAATCAAGAGCGTCACATGGACTGAAGTAAAAACCTCATGTCCGAGCTGCAAAAAGCTCATTGCTGCACTGGCTCTGGACACCTGGTGGTTGAAAACAGTGTCTCTGTGGTGAGTGTTGTGGGCCTTTGGGTTTTCACACTGAACCAAATTGCCTAAGGTGATAAATTGGTCACTTTTTTACATCTAAAGCTCAGGTTTTGTTTTTATTTTTATTAATTATAACAGAAATGGCACTGAACATTTTTATTCAAATAAAAATGAAAATCTTACATTACAAAGCTCTGTGGTTAGTATCTGCTCATACAACAGGGAAGTAGAATGTCTCCGCAAGAATTGTGAGATGCATCAGGACCCAAGGAAGATGCTATACAGATCAGTAAAAATGTGTCCATCTGGAGAACTCACCTTCCAACGTTTCTACTGAACTCTCACTCAGTGAGGGTGAATTTACACACTTCCAAGCTGTCAATACATAGGTAGGTAGGTAGATGATACGTAGAGAGACAGACACACTGACAGATCGGGAAATATATATAAAATGTAATATTTTAAACAATTTGATGAACAATTTATATACACCAGAAATTCTTTATGAGCAATACTTTCTTTCATGAGAAAATCACACAAGTATGTCTACTCTAGGAAGTCACTTACTTTTTGCCTAACTCAGCCTGTATATTTTAAATAATTTAATATTCAGTACTTTGGGTAAAAGATATACATCAATCTTTGATACTACTTTTCCATGCCTGTTTGATTTTGAAATTATGTCAAAAATTTAAAAAAAGCATACAAAACCAAAATCACACAGGAAGTCATTTTCTCCTATATACTACATCTAATATGTCATTAAATATGGTTTATATGTATTTTGGAATATACATATGTGTGTGTGCACGTGTCTCTATATCTCAATTATCATTTCTTATCACCTCCATTACTCTGAGACTCCAACTTTGACGAAGTGCAAAAGCTGGATTCTTCTTGAATACTTCAGTGTTTAAATATATGCTATTAATTAATGTTATCACCAAAATAGTGATTCATTTCCATATTTATTTTAGATGTCCTGTGCTTCCTTGGAGTCCTTAGCAAAGGTATGTGGCCCCAGGTCACCTGGTGTCTGGTGACTGTCGGTGTGACTGTGTAGGACATGGAGAAGGAGGTGTCCTTCTGTCCTGGGAATTTTAAGGATTGAGAGCAACTGAGATGTCAAATTCTTTATAACTCCTTAAGCTCTGTATTTTCTGGCTTTCCCTCCCCCAGGGCTGTATCAACCATTTCTACCGCACACTCCAAGTCTGAGGTTTAACCCTCATCTTCACTCCAACACAAGCCTTTTCACTTGCTGCTTGTTTGTATCCAAAATACGCATACTCGTGGATTCCAACTTTCCTATGTGCATAAAATTATTTATTTCTCAGATGAATATATTCTCAGTTATAAATACCACTGTTACCATAATTTCAGGATATCAGGCCTAGGCTCCCAGGCAGGAAAGGATCCCAGGCAGTGTGGCAGCGCTGAGTCCCAGCCACTAGCCCATATAGTTGGTGTCTCATGAAGCCACAGCAGGAACTTCACTGACACTGAGACGAGGAGGCAAAAAGAGGCAGATTTATTTTGAGAAAGAAAAAGTTAATTAAGGAGAAAAGGAAGAACAGATATAAAGTGGGTCTTCCGGGCCCTTGGACCATGCCAGGGAAGGGTCAAAAAGCCAAGTGGAGTCCTGCCTCAGAGAATATGCACCTTCTCTTCTTAATTATTCTAATGCTCCACCAGTCTCTTAGTGAGTGGTTGGTTCTCAGTGGGCTCACTCACTGCCTTAATGTCTCTGTGCCTCTGAACTAAGTTTAGTGTCCAAGCCCTTAACTTAGCATACTTTTTTCTTTATCATCCTTGTTCTGCAATGTCCTGTTTCATCTAGTCTTAGGGGTTCCCTTTGGAATTTGTTGCCCTTATCTCTGGAGCCTTCCTTAACTCTCCTGAAGTCCCTGTCTGCAGGGACTTGAAGCTGTCCCTGAAGCTGCCTAACCATCCCTAAGTTGCCTAAGGACTCACCACTCTTTGAGGATCATCCCCACTAATTTTTCTATGTAGACTATGTATTTGTCATACACTGATAGCTCTCATTTTCC